TTTATGTTAAAGATGCAAAATGCAAACCAAATTCAACTTTGAGAACTAGTTAAGATAACATACATTGCTGTCCACACCATATACTGCACGTTTTCTCGCTATCCACCTCTCTTTTTACAATGGTAAAATAGGAGAGAAAACAAAACAAAGCCTGCGTATGTTTTTTCCTAAAGAGAGTTAAAGTACGTAATTGCAATTTAGTTCTTAAATTTAAAACCAAACCTCGTCCATATTGTATCGTACATCTGAACAGAAATGACAAGGCATGCAGCATCATCCGCATGCAAGGAATCGACTGTGACTGCAGGAGAGACATAAGTTGAATGTTTCGAACACAACTGGATGAAGCTCGGTATTATCATCACGACCTATCACATTTTAGATGCGGAGCATCTTATACTTGCGCCTTGTAGTGCGCCGTCCGCACCGTCCGCACCGCTTCTCAAACATTCGACAGCTGACGCGCGCGCATGCGCCGTCGCGCCGTCGCCCACTCTTCCACCATCTGTGCATCCCTTCCTCCTCTACACACCGCGCGCGCTTCACTCCTCCACCATCTGTGCCCCCTTCCTCCTCTACACACCGCGTTCGACATCTACAATTCTCCTGATTCTCCAGTGGACGCGCATGTGGCGTCGCGCTTCGAGAACATTCAACAGCTGACAGTGCATGCGCCGTCGTGCTGTATATATACTCAAGGTCGGCGCTCGCTCGCTCAGTTGCCGCTCGTCGGTTGGTTTGTACGGCGCGTCGACGTCCAAGGTCGCGGTGAAATGAATTCCAACGAATCCACAAACACAATGATCGACGTCCCTTCGCCCAGCGCCGCCCTTTCGCATACGTGTGTACGTGTTCACTCATTTAACACCCCCTCCTACAACCACGTTAACCAATTTAGCCATCGACCCAAGTAAGTCGCAATTTAACACCCCATTTCACAACCACGTTAACCAATTTAGCCATCGACCCAAGTAAGTCGCACTTTAACACCCCGTTAACCAATTATATGGTCCGCATCCTCCTCAGTGTTCCCCCGAGGGAAGCTGCGGGCAATTTTTTTTCTTAAAGTCCCACCTCAGCGTAAAATTGAGCTTGAAATAACCCACAATAAGATGTGCACTCGTGTTTGTGATATGATCAATATAGCTTGGCTGGCCAATATTATTGGTCGTCACGATAAATAAAATCAAAACAAACCTTCTCAAAACTGCTAGTGAGGTTCTCCAAGTCTGCGGGAAACTTGATCACCGATGGTCCCAGCGTCATCAGGAACTGCGCTACTCTCTGAAGAACTCTGTACACGGGGCTTTCTGACATGTCAAAACGGCTTGCCAACAAAAGGTTTTGTTGGCCGCGTACCTGCGCAGGGGGATTACAGGTACCCGAAAGAAAAAAAAAACAGCTTCAGATCACACTGCACTGTAAGCAACGGGCTCATAGTCAAATGCGTTCTTGTGCAGGCATCGTACAAAGAAAAAAAAAGGGGGGGGGTGAAGGTGGGAAGGTGTAACTAACCAAATAAATGTCAAGACATGCGTTTCCGCGGATTTCGCTGGAACTCCTCTGTGTGTGCTCGAAGGGCCCATTGACGAGACAGTAAACTCCGCGACCAACTTTTCGGCCACAGGTCGAGCCAGCCTAAAGTGCCTCCGGAACTGCTCAAGAAAAGAAACAAACGAAAACACCACAACGTGTTAAACTTTGAGCATAATGCTTTTCTTCTTTTTTTCTATTTCTTTACCTCGTGGTCCGAGTACTGCCGAACGACGTCCTCGATGAAACTGACGACTTTGGGCCTCTTCGCGGGAATGCGGAACAACTTGTTGAATTCCCGCTCGTAAGCGCAAGCTTTAGCGTCGCTGTCACTGTCCGACGAATCACTCGTGTCGGTACTTGAGCTTTCCGACTCAGAGCTGTCACTATCGAGTAGCAGAAGCATTGCCGCACCCTTTGCCGAGGTAGCCGAGCCGTGCATGCCGTCCGCCATTATCAACACAACTCGTGCCGCGCCAGCCGCGCCCCCAAGCAGGCAAACGTGTTAAAGGAAATGCGTCACGCTGAGTTCCGGTCCACTCCACCGATTTCGGTGGAGCAGTTTTTCCTGCTCCACGGAGGGACTCCCGCTCTGAATCCCCTCCGGCTCTCTCATTGTAACTTTTGACTCTCGCTCTCACTCTGTCATTGGAACACACTTGCTCTGAAAGGAGCAGAAAAACTTGCTCCGACTCCGCCATTGGAACTCAACATGAGAGATAACCAACACTCCACGGCAGCTTTTTTTTTTCTTTTTCTCTCCTCGCGCGCGTTGTTGAGAGGAGAAGGGTTACGTGGCAGGGACGGGAAAGGGGGGAAGCGTGGCACCAACGCTTGAAACCCCCCCCCCCCCCCCAAGGTGCATAGCCGTGCTCCCGCAAGGGGCAAGGGCTGCCGAAGATAGTGCCTTTTTTCTTTCCTTCAACCACACATTCATTCAACCCAGCGACGGCTTTCTTTTTTTTTTTTTTCCTCTCTCTTTTCGCGCGCGGCGTTGCAAGGGGGAGGCTCTTACGTGGCAGGGACGGAAAAAGGAGAAGCGTGACACGAGCGCATCGCAGATCGGCATTTGAGAGCAGGCACTGCGCCGTGCTCTCGACCTGGTTGCAGAAATTAGGTGCCTTTTCAAATCATCTAACCACTACCACCACCATTCGAGAGAGCAAACATTCCACCGCAGCCTTCTCTTTCCTTTTCATTTCCTTCGCGCGCAGTGTTGAGGTGTCACAGGTGCCGCCGCGGGATTGGGCGGGGGGCTGAGAGCATTTTCGGAGTGTGGTCTGTTCGAATGAACCATCGTAAGTGCTTGTGCATTTGAATTACTGGGCGTTTTCGCCCATTGGAATACACATAGCTTTGACGGGACCTCATTGTGAGTTCGAATGAACCAGAAATTCGAATTAAGCGTGTTCGAAATAATGAGATTTGACTGTACAATTTCATAGCGGCTGCAGTTGGAAAAATACTGATTATAAATTTTTCATGGCATTTTCCACGTTACCAGTCCTCGATTAGACAGTCTGACTGGTAATGTTTTCATTGCAGTGAACAGAATCTGGTTCTGTGAAAATTCTTAGTCCATTTAAGAAATTTGCGGGCATAAAATGGAATCGGCTTTTCCTAAGCAGGATAGTGTGGACGGATAGGGTAGGATAGGTGTAGGGTGGGAGAGGCAGGATGAGGCCTTCGTCCTGCTGTGTACAAAAGATAAGCTGAATATGATTATGGTGATGGTGATGGCAATATTTGTTTGATTTTCAAGGACAGATTTTTGCCTTATACATACATGATTTCTATTCCAAAATTTAATGATTTTTTGCACACCTGTAGTTATTGGTTCATTCTTGTATGTACAGTGATGTGATAGCTGCGCCAATTGCATCAAAGTGCCCCTTGGCGCACTTTGATGCGCCAAGACCTCCTACATCCTGCTACATCTTGGCAAAAATTTCATTATTTGTGCCAAGCATGCACCAAAGTGTTATTTTTTTTTCTTTCTTTTGGAGAGACACAAGACAGCAAGTGCTTTAAATTTATAGATTACAACTGCAATTTTGAGTGGTCATCAGAGTAGACAGAAAAGTGCTATGTAGTTGAAGTAGTTGCTGGGTGCAAGCCTTTGAAACAATTTCAGCTCTTCCACACTGCGGAACTTCTGTTAGATTTCAACTCGCCTATACTACAAAACTCACTACATTAGTTTTTGATTACTTCTAGACCATACTGTGAGATTATTGAGTTCTGTAAAATAGTTTCGAACTGTTTGGATACAGTCACAGAAAAATAATGATGACCTATAGTTGGTCGTGACGCGCTCATAGCGTGCTCACAGCCGTTTCGCTAGCTCATCTAATACCAAATTCTATATCTCGTGACGTTAATAGATGTCAAAGGTAAATGACACGTCCAAACATGATAATCATGACATGGAAGTCATGTATGGCATAATTTACGTTTGCCTCGTAACGTTGGGCTGATTTTAAAGTGACATATCACCCTTCCTCATTCGTGCTTCGCATATCGATTTTTACTGTACATGAGATCTGCCAATTTTTCCTCTTGGAAAGTAAATAGAACGCATTGAGCATTTAGACAGATTGTGCTTCCAGTATTGTAACTAAGCCACCAGGAAAAGAAAAATCAAAGTAATTTAGAAATACCAAGTGAATTTCTGAGAAATGTTCGGTGGCTTGAGCTGACTGGACTTGATAAGCTTGGGGATGTCTGTAGAAAGCGAAGATCAGTGACCTCATTTCATGTTTATGAGCATTCCAAATCAACACGCATGCATGCGTGTATAAGTGGATTTTGTTTTACATGTGGGGCAACAGCTCCAGATTAGAGAATATTTGGTTGGGAAAATGTGTGGCAAGTAACTGCTCCATCCAATTGTTATGCTACTCTTAAGGAGATTTTAGTTTCTCCAGAAGGTGCACCAATATCACTTTAGTCAATCGCGTCACTGTATGCATCATACTGCCCACTTTTTCTTTTCTTACAATAGTGCCATGTAAACACTGCAGGAAATTATGGATAAATAAATGGTCATATCACATGCTGAGAGATATTGTGAGCCAAAACTAAATTGTGCTGTAAAATTATAAAAATGGAATGAGTTTGAGTGCCTTTTTTTTTTACAGTGCTCGTTCCTCACTTTTACACCGCACCTGTCTGTATGGCATCTTGGTGGCCAGCTTATTGACGACGGGCAAAAATGAAATTTATAATCTGTATTTTGTTTCATATAGTGAGTTGCTGTAGGTAATTTGACTTGGGGTTCTAGGGTCTATAATGTTCACATAACTGTTCAAAATCAGTTACTGCTGCTTTTCGTGTTTCTATGATTTATGTTCGTTCTGATCCTCATGGCAGTATCCTACTTTCCTTTTTCTCTTCTCTCAATCATCATTAAACAAAGCCAACGATATCCTGTAAATGAAGAGTGTCTTTGTTCTGTTATGTTTCAGGATGCCAGTGCATCTCCACAAGTGAAGCTAACAGATTTGACAGAATCTCATGCAAACTCAATGCGCAAACTGCAGTTCCGCTTGGAGGAAATGTTCATAAATAATCAAGTTTTACAGGAACTTCTCACTGAATATCTTGGTATGTACCTTGTCACTGTGCAATTGCATTGTGATTCTGGCTGCTGCATCAATTAGATTGAGTTCATCATTTTGGGCTTCTAATATTTTGTGTCACAGTGTTTTAACTTTAGCACAATATTTGATGTAGGAATATGCATAGATTGGCAAAAGAAATGGGGCCCATTCACAAATTAATTCTTTGCTTTGGGATTGTTTGGATTCATTATAACTAGCTCAGCCACTACTTCAGACTCGGTCTCTAAAATTCTACTCACTCTAACAAAACAAGCTCACTCAGACATCCACCACTAATGTTGTATTTAGTCTGGCTGACTTGGTTTAAAACATGCTGCAGTTCTAATTAAATAGTATCACTCTGAAACCACGCACGGCTAAATTCAACTTGGCTGGACTCGCATAAATGATATTGAGCACACCACGATACTTTGAAGGCAGGTCAACTTGACCTATAGGCTCTTTTTCACTTAGGCTTATACAGAACTAATGTGTAGCGCATTCTAAGGGCTATGAACAGTTGTTAAAACACTGAAAATGCAGAGTAGTCTTAATTTTGCATTTAGAGTGTCGAAAAGTAATGTCTTTCATTCTGGATTTAGCTCCATTTCACTGAAGAGTTTCCTTATTTTTCTGTTCAGGAACGAAAAAAAGAAAATGGTCCTTAGTTGTCTGTTTTTATTTGCCTGTTCAAAATTTCAAGGCAAGGTGACGATAAAAACATTCTATTTATTTTACCTCATAAGTGAAACACTAGATTCTCTGAGCAGGCAGAATACTTCACACTAAGGGATTAAGCATGATCGTAAAAGCAGCACCTCATCGTATGTGCTCTGATACGAGAGGCCAGTGTTCTCATGAAACAAACTTCAATGCAAAGAATGTGCTCTCCACACCGACCTGTGTGACTGGCACCCCAAGGGCTGCTTGCATTGATATTGCTTTATAGTTAGAACATCAAGGGTGGGACATTCTGCACACAGAAAACGACAGAGAGGACTCGTCTGTCTCCTGTATGTGCAGTGTTCCATCCTGATCAGTGTAATTACGCTCGCAAATAGTAACGTCTTGTCTCATTTTTCGTAACATATTTGTGGGCGAGCTGCTGGTTCTTTTTTGTACCCATCAAGAAGCTCCGCAACGACCGTATCATCGTGGGTTCTACCATGTCGGAGGTTCAAGAAACACATCGCCCGCCCCGCCCATGACTTCTACCCATGTAGTCCTACCTCCTCCTCTTGATCCTGGCGTATTTTCCGGAGAGCATGGCTCTGACATTGACAAGTGGATCAACCTGTGTGAACAGATCAGCATCGGCTACAGGAAAGACCTGACCCTTATGCTCACCAACATACTGCTTTACCTTGATGGCCCACCGCAGGTGTGATTTGCGATCCACGAAGCCAACATTACAAGCTGGGGCTCTTTCAAAGAGAAGATCCGCAACCTTTTGGCAACACTGCTGAATGGCAGATGGTTGTGCAGAATCAATTGGCAACTCAGGCACATCTCCCGAATCATGCGTCACGTACATTCACAACATCATCGTCCCAGTCTGATAGCTGCTTGCGCTGAAAGGCTGAAAAGCATATGCAATATTTGTTCAGACTAGGATGATGATGTCAGATGTCTCGGACTCAGATAATATCAGACTCAGACTCGGTGATTGCCTTTAATCTGCTCGTCTATACCAACGTTGCCACTGTCGATGCAATCATCAAAAAATGCTGGCAATTCGAACAAGCCACTCGCTAACTGCCCACTGCTGCCCACCGCTGCCCATTTATGACAACGTCGCCCAAATTGTTCGTTGGGAGATAGAGGCTGCCTGTCCAGCTCCTATTCAACCTTGTGTTTAATAGGAGCTGGACAGGCAGAAGAAAGACTGCTCCAACAAAATTACCAAGAAAGACTTGTACCTTATTCCACGTATTGACGGGGCCACCTTCTTTTCATTTCTAGACCTCTGATCGGGCTACTGGCAAATTGCTGTAGACGAACTGGATCGTGAGATCACATTCGTTCGATGGCCTTTACCAAATTTAAGGTCATGCCTTTTGGTCTCTGCAATACTCTGGGAACCTTCGAGACGATGATGGACATGCTGTTTCAAGAATTTAAATGGTTGACATGCTTGTGTTACTTGGATTACGTGATAATCGTCTCACCCACTTTCGCCACACACCTTGAACGCCCTTCGACCATTTCATCGATATTCCAACAAGTTGGCCTCCAGCTTAAGTCTTTGAAGTGCAACTTTGGACCTCGTCAAATTACTGTATTGGGCGACCTTGTTGACGCTTTCAATGTACGACCAGACCCAGCAAAAGTACGTGCTGTAACGACCTTCTCCATTCCATGCTCTCTTGCTGATTTTTGCAATTTCATAGGCCTGTGCTCTTACTTTCGCCGGTTCTTAAAAGACTTCATGGCACTCATACGTGCACTCACCGACTTTCTCAAACACAACTTTCGATTTTGTTGAGGTCCTCTCCAAGCTGATGCCTTCTTTCAACTAATCACCGCTCTAACGATACCACCAATACTTGCACATTCTGACCCAGATGCTCCTACAGAAGTGCACACAGATGCTAGTGGTCAAGGGATTGGCACAGTTTTGGCCCAAACTCAGCAAGGCACTGATCGTGTAATTGCGTATGCAAGTCTTCTCCTTTCGAAGTGTGGTCCCGTCACGGTGGTCTAGTGGCTAAGGTACTCGGCTGCTGACCTGCAGGGTGCGTGATCGAATCCCGGCTGCGGCGGCTGCATTTTCGATGGAGGTGAAAAATGCTGTAGGCCCGAGTGCTCAGATTTGGGTGCACGTTAAAAACCTCAGGTGGTCAAAATTTTCGGAGCTCTCTGCTACGGAGTCTCGCATAATCATATGGTGGTTTTCGGATGTTAAACCCCACATATCAATAATCACCCTTTCGAAGTGTGAGCGTGACTACTCTATAAAAGAACGGGAAGGCCTTGCCCTTGTCAGGGCACTTTCAGATTTCCATCTTTACTTGTGTGGCCACCCATTCCGTGTTGTCACAGACCATCAAGCCCTCTGTTGGCTTTCCTCAATGAAGAACCCAACTGAACGACTTGTCCATTGGGCGTTGCATCTTCAGGAATACTCCTACTCAGTTGCCTACAAGTCTGGGTGCCTTTATGTGGATGCCAATTGATTGTCCCATTACCCTGTTGACCAAACAGACAAATCAGTCACTGAAGCATGACCATGCTTCAGTTTCTTCAGATTGGTGACGAAGAGCGTTGCGATGCTTCCTTGCGATCACTCATTAACCATCTTGTATCTGCCCCTAACGGTGCATCACTCCGCATGTTCATCCTCTTGCATGGCATTCTATACCGTCTTAGTGTCCAGCCAGATTGCCCTGAGCTACTTCTCATGGTGCCTGGACATCTGCATTCACCTCACAACGGGCCAACTGCCAGCCACTTGGGCGTATTTTGCACATGCAACTGCATCTGGCGCTGCTTCTTTTGTTGTGGTTTTGCCTGGTTCATTCGACGTTACGCGGCCTCCTGTAATAAATGTCAACATCAGAAGCAACCTGTCACTCCCTGTGCTAGACTCCTTCACCCGATCTCCATCCCTACCGAACCTTTCTTCTGTGTTGGTGTAGATTTTCTCTGTCCTTTTCCTGAATCAAACTGTGTGAACAAGTGGGTCGCCGTTGCTGTAGATCATGTAGCAGGGCTGGCCATCACTAGAGCGTGCCCTGTCAGCTCTGCTATCGATATTGCCGGCTTTTTGCTCCACAATGTTATTCTACACCATGGGGCTCCTCGTCAGTTGCTCACCGATCGTGGCCGCACATTTTTGTCACGAGTAATCGATGATCTTTCGCGCTCTTCCTCAATACAGAACAAGCTCACCACTTCCTACCACTCCCAAATAAATGGCCTCACCAAGGGCCTAAATTGCAACATCACAGAAATGCTCTTGATGTATGTCTCGTGTGACCTCTATGACTGCAATTTGGCACTACCTCACATGACCTTCATTTGTACTTATTCACCTCGTCATGACACCTCCGGTTACTCACTTTTTTTGTATGCTGTATGGCCTTAATCAGATGACCTTACCACTAGACACGCTGCAACCGGGTACTGCACCTCCGCCGAGTGAATATTTATTTATTTTATTTTATTTTTGGCAAACTGCTAACTCCAGGTGGAGTCGTTGCAAAGTGGGGTTACAATCAAAAATGACGCATAGAACATTTTAGGGAAAACAGCAGTGAAAAACATGAAGACAATATAAAGTAAAGAAGTAACACATTTTGTGAAGCAATACAGGAGCACAGTGTATATTTACAAAAAGAAAAAAAGACCAATAACGAAAACCGACAACCCATTCAAGTTGAAAGATAAGGTGATAGGCATGTAATGCATAAGAATGGAACTTCACATAATCCAATTGGCAAGTAAAGAGTCGAACAATTCTATGCTGTTGGTTTCAACGGAGGGTGCATTTAGAGCATTCCACTCAATGATCGTTTGCGGAAAAAAATATACTTATAAACAATAATAGCCGTTTGATAAAAAGTGATTGAAAAACAAAGTCGCAGTTTCGTATAGTAACCTGTTGAAAATGCACATACAGTCGACTCTTGTTAATTCAAACTAGAAGGGACCTCTGAATTTTGTTTGAATTATCAACAAGTGTAAGTATCAGAAGTTTACAGATACGTATATGACTCCAGGGGAGGTGACACCACACATTATGATTGTGCATTGATTGTATCACATTTAAAAATTTTTAAGTGTTTTTAAACCCTAACTGCATGTAATGAACAGAAAGCAGAGGTGAAAGTAAATGGCCAAGTTTATTGGCCATTTACTACTGATTAGGCCTTTTAAAGAAATAGCGAATTTCTGACTGCTTCTTTTCTATATGTGCCTTCAGCACAAAGCTGTCTATACCCGTTGAGAAGCACCACAGTTTACCATGCATGTGCTTCATTTCAAACATTTGTTTACTAGCAA